CAAAAGTCTGCGTATAAGAGACTTTTATTTCCCACCAGAATTTTAAATTTTATAAAGGCCATTGGCCTTTATGGTGAGCTGTAGAGTGCATTTGATATTATTTAAAATGTTTATTGTTACTTTAAAAAGTTGTTTTAAATCACAAATGTATTTACACCGAATTTAAATATTTTAACTTTTTAGCATTTTAAAGTAAATTAGTTAACCAGTCGTGAAGTGAATTTTTGCAAAAGTGAACAACTTGTGTTTCGCGCGCTCATATGACCTTAGCAGTTGCGAGCGCCGTAAAACCTTATACTATACATACAGAGTATTCTTGAACATGGGTTTTTTCACTGTACGCTAGTATAATAATATTGTAACTCTCCACCTCTATGCTCAATCATTTGAATCATATTGGGAAAAATTGTTAAATTGGAGTAGGAAAATTTTGATTTTTTAGAATGTCAGTTTTAAGAGAGCTGTTTTGTTAAACTCAGTGACCTATTACATCTTGTCATACAAAAAGTAGGCCTACTTAACATTGCAGAGAAATAACTTATTGCTTTCTTTTCTTTTGTCTTCTTCTGTTTTCTGCGTTTCTTTAAATTGTAAATGTTAAACTTTTACATCCCCATCGACACAATAAAGACCAAATGGAAGAAGGGCTGAATTGACCCTGCCTCTCAAGACCGACATTGAGTAAGATAGGATACAATAATGTCAGCAGATGGATGGGGATACAAAATGAAATCTTCCACACCATGGAATATGGAAGTGAACTCACGTCTTTTGCATGCAATGGTTAAGAGAGTAATAATAATATTACATTACAGACCCCACTTGTTTTTTCATGTTCCTCTTTTTTATGTCTTTTTGATAATATAATAATTACATTTTACTTTTTTTGTTTTATGTTCACAGTTCAAATGGTTCCTCACCCCGGGGCTATGCCTGGAGTACCTACTGGACTCGAATACCTGACCCAAGTGGACCAACTCATTTGCAAACAAATTGTGGAGTTATTTGAAGGTATTGCATGGAATGAGTCTTACTGCATGTAGCAATAAAGAACTTCATAAATGCCAGCCCAGTTCATCTTATAAGGGGTATTTAATTTCTCCTTGTGTAAATATAGATTGCTCACCCTGCATTGTCCTGATTACCAGTCATGAGCACGTCGTCTGCCGTCAACGTGGACATATTTTCAATTTGCAAAGTATGTCCATGGAGAAACGATGACCACCATGAGTTAACCAATAGAGAATGGTATATGGTCATGCAATCTAAATGTTAAAATGCAAAACACGTGATTGAATGAAAATGTTATTTTTTGGTAGGCCTACCTTGTGACAAAATCTTTCCACGAACTTATTCGTTTAGAGAAATACCCCAACTTCAGGGCATATTATTGGGTTTCATACTCTTCTCTATAGTAACTAAGTCCTTAGTTCTACTTTTATCATTGTAACAAATTCTATATTCTGAAGTATTTGACAGTTTGGTTGTTTACACTTTTATCCCCTACACACTTTTATTTGGGCCTATTCGAAAAAATTTGCATTGCAATCATGCAAAGGCGATAGGTTGCCTTTTCCGGGTTTCTTTTTTTTGTTTGTTGTTGTTGTGATAGATAATATCTGATGCCATAGTTTTATCTTTAGTTTTTAGTATATCACTCACAACGCAGTCATGTTCTGATTCTTCTTGTTCTGACTACAAAAAAGAGGGAACTCCATTGGCAGATACTTTGACATTTATTGTAGATCGCACAAGTTTTTAAAAAATTGTTTCTGGGGTTCCAGTAGGGCCTATGCAGTATAAAATTTCATTCCAAGACTATACTCATAGCATTGATAGCTAATTATGTGTGGTAGAAATTTTTAGTATTAGCCTTTATTGTAATTGTCAAGTTAAAAATTTCAGTGATGACGGGCTGGGAATGCAAAAACAAGTACCGGATCCTGAACAGCATGAACCAACAGGTCTATTATGCTTTTGAAGGTGAGTTTGTCTTTTCTTGTAGAAATATGTGACTTATTTAGGGCTTAAAGTATTACATCATTTTACATTACCCAATGTTAAATGTGGCTCTACACAATGGAATCAAGCATCATCTGGTTTCAGAGGTCAAATTAGCGTGAAAATGGCTGCCCAATTTGAGGGATTTCCAAAGTTTGAGAGTCCTTGGAAACTGAACATTTACAAATTTTTTTGCCTTTAATCTACGTTTTCCTGTAAAATCCACACAGAAATGTGTTTTGGAATGAATTAAAAAGGTTTTGAGTGAAAACATTTTTTGGATAGACATTGCCAAAAGCGCAGGAAAATGCTGGTTTCTTTGATTTAATTATTTTGACGAGCTCCTGATTTCACCATGATGCCTCACAAATACTAGTAAGGTACTCATTTGTCTACCCAATGTTCAGCCAGTATATTTTTATTTCTTTAAATGAATTCTGTATAACCAGGGTCTTAAGGAATTAAATTCTGCTTTTTAGAGATAGTGGAAAAGCAGAAAATGTACCCCCCGGGGCAGTGCCACTGACTGAAGTGTCTTTAGGCCATTCCCAAAGGGGGAACATTTCTTGTTCAAGCATAGTAGAATTGTAAATGGGCTGACTCATGTCACACTCACAAATGTGCCTGATCTTCAACAGGGAACTGCTGCTTTTTCTTTCCTGATCCTTACTATTGTCATTTTCCTCTACTTCTTTTGTATGTTTGTCACTCTCTTGTGACCTGCTATTTTGGGGTGCCTTGATAGTCGAAGCAGGCCTTATGCTGTTAAAGCTAGAGAGGTGAGCAGTCTAAGTTTGATTCCCTCTGTAAAGACTTCTCTGTTGACACCCACCCCGCGGCGCTCATATGACCTTATGCAGTTGCGAGCGCCGTAAAACCCTCTACTATAAAAGAAAAAAATGCTGAATTTTTTTTTATCCGAAAAAATTTAAACAATTAAAAATCCTTTGGAAAAACCCAGATGATCCGACATGTACAAAAGTAATCTCTGCCTTTTCAGGTAACAAATAAAAAGCTGATACGTGTACACTCACTATAATATGTGCGTGCATGTACATGCTCTTTCTCTGAGTGTGGGTGGTTGGCGGGTGCTCTAGTGTGGTTTGCTCCTTCTTTCCTATCCAAACATCTATCGTCCTCATCCCCCCTACTTCTAGTTTGTGTTTGTTACTCTCTTGTAACACCTCTAATCTTCGGCACTTTATGACCTTATCTTGTTGCAAGTGACGTAAAACTCTTACTAAAATAAAATTACTCTTAGTGTCTATACAGCTCTTTTTTGCGTGTATTGTAGGCCCAATTTTGTTATCAAATTGTTTGTTAGATTTTTGTGTCACATGTTTTTCTGGCTCCCGATCCTTGAGTAAGCGGGGTTGACGTTGAACCCCTTTATTGTTTTGGACAAATTTAATAAAAGAAAAATATCGCCTCAAAATCACATATCGTCAGCCCGATGAATCAATGTCACAAGTAAAAAATGTTGGTTTAAAAAAAATTGCTGTTTCTTAATCTGTGATGTCAGTTGCATGTGCTCTAGAAATATTTTGTCCAAATTCAAATTCTAAATGTTGAAAAAAAGCAAGGAAACGCAAAATGCCATGCCTGCAGCTGTCAAATTACATGGTGCTCCAAGATCGCTAGCTATGCTCTGCTGGGTAACATAAAAGAGCTTTATAACCGCCTACATGGCCATGTGGTCCAGTGGCAAAAGTCTGCGTATAAGAGACTTTTATGATGTGTCTCTTAGTTATGCCGAAACTATGTACATATATTTGGGCCGGCTGATGTAGACAAAGGGGCAATAATTTAGTTAGACTGTTGGGGAATCCTGATGCTGAGAGGGAGGCTAAATTTATGATGGACTATTGAAGGGAAAGATACTTTCTCAAATTGTTTCATTTTCATTTACTAGAATTTCTTCGTAGCCTTTGGTTTTTATTTTTTGCTGTGCATGCATGCTGCGTGCGTGCGTGTGTGCGTGGATGCGTGCGTGTGATTGATTAATAAATGTGACTTATGAGTGTTCCCATTTTTAAAAAAGGAGGCGAAATCAGACATTTACTTCTTAAAGTATTATAACGCTCACAATTAACTACAACAATATTATTTCCAATAACACTTCGAAGCTATTACAGGAACCTATCATCATTTGGATACTTTTTATATGTTGGAATGTACTAAATCTGTCAAGAGTGCAGTTTGAGGATGTCTTTAATAAACTGACAAAACAGTTTCTACAGAACCTTTTCTGTTTTTTGTTTATCAGTGTAATATTATAATTTATGTTTTATCCTTTATAGGTCTAAAAGCTATCAATAATATCTAAGAAAGCTGTGATAAGCTGTATGATGATTCTCCTCTAGCAAACCAAGGATCGAACAATGTGCCTACCCAGTTATCTCATTACAAAAACAGCTTTTCACTAAACAGTTTGTGTTAACCAATAAAAGATGCCTTTATCTTCTTTCATTATCAGTTTTAAAATGTGCATGTACTTTTTTAGGGAACAAAACAGTTTTTTCCTCTTTCCTTAAAAAGTTTGCTGTTTGGGCTTGTGGCATTTTATCATAATATGACCATATGTACTCTCTGAGGATCAGAAATACTTGCAGCAATTTTTTTTTTACATCAGTTTTTAAAACTTTTCTATGGTTATCTTTTTATTTTTTTAATCACTATCCTCTTTTAAGTTCATGCCTGAAAATAAGTAACACTAAAAGAAACTGTCCTTTTAGCTTCAAAATCATTGGATGTATATTTATTGTATTAAAAATTGTCTGTAGACTGTAGGTTTGTGTTTTTTTAATCCTACAGAGTCTGATTTGTGCAACAGGATCTGTTGTGGACCCAACAGAGGCTTTGTTATCCACATCACAGATAATTACCAGCAGGTAAAAAATGGATAATAGTCTCGTTGAGCTCTCCCTTTGCAACTTACTTGTCCTATTACTCACATCTGGGATCCCCACTCTATGAAGCCAACATTTCGACTGTAATCTGGTGTCATGCTTCATCATTCTATGCTGGTTGTTGTGAATCTCGGCGTGGCTTGCCGTACTACCCTCCTCCTTTCAAATACGAAGTATGATGACATGGTTTATTTTGAGCTTTGCTGCACTTCGAATGAAGGTTGCAAGTCAGATTGTGCCTCTGGGTGACCGGACTAAGGAATTTTTTTTAACTGATTAATTGCCCTACGAAAGCTCTTATAGATTTTAATTCTTACTATGTAATCTCAGAGTGTTGGCCTACATATACCTCTGGGCAACTTGAAAGTAGTGAAGCTAGGAAAAGTTTCAAGCCTTGCTGTGATGGTCGAAGACACTACGCCCCTGGAAGAAGTGGACTCCTTTACCTACTTCTTCTTTTTGTAAATGGCAAAATACCCTCAGTATTAGTACCAGTACCGGATTGGGTACCTCAATTTTTGGTGCATTTTAAAAACTTTTGCCCATTAGTTTATATTTTTTTATGAAACTGGTTTGTTCCTAAATACTAAATGGGAAAAGTTGTCACAGTAACTTACTAAAATCACTGAAATTTCATGATCTCATGAACTTTTATTCACTGAAGGAGAAATAAAACAGATTTGTTCCTACTAGTACACGGTTATGAGGTTGAATGTGGCATTCCCCACCCCATCCCTTTTTTATCTATATACTCCCCCCCAACCCGGGATTTTGAACTACTTGTCTACCCCCCCCCCCCCCCCCCTTTTTAAATTTTTTTTTTCCCCCCCCCCCCCCCCCCCTCCTTTTATTCCTACCCCCCCCCCCCCCTCCCTTTATTCGATATTCAATACCTTAAAGTAACTATCCTAGAATCAGGGAATTAAAATTTTTTTTTTTTTTTAATGAAAACAAAACAGATCAAACTCTGGACCTCTGGGATAACAAGTTTCATTCAGATATCTAGATTCTAGATGTAATGTTTCACATTATCGTTGGTTGTGGCAAGTTGGAAAGTAATAAAGGGGGGGGGGGGCGTGTATGGAATTTGGTCGGACGGAAGGGGGGCTTATTGGATACCTTGGAGTGGGATCAAGCACATAGTCTTTTTGGATAAGAAGAAAGATTTTGTAAGTTCAGTGTGAAAGTTTCACTCGTTAAAGAATCCCTTGGGGCACTTGGCGGTTCTAAAATCGAAAAGAGTAGGCCTTTCATCCAGGTATGTTCAAAATTGATTCCTACAATAAACTGAAACCACTCTAGTTAGCATAAATATAAGAATACATCTTCGAATAGGCATGTGGCTGTCTGTGAGGTAAGGGGTGATTCTATATTTTATCTAGATTAGATGGCCAAACAAATCATCAGCGCTGTGAGATGAAGATCTTACAGTCAGTTACTTTCCTAGCAATAGCAGGGGTATGCAGAAGAAGAAGATTAGCTGAAATGAACTGGTTGACTATTAGTTCCTCATGTAATACATTCTTGATTTTACAATATGTATTATGAGTTTGGCGGATGAGGAGTGTTTAATTAACACTTTGCCTTCATATTTTGGAGAACATTCAAAGAAACTGGGTGGTAAATATCGCCAATCGGCGAGATATAAGAGCTTTGTGTAAGGGATTGGAAGAGATCGACGGAGAGAAAGAGCAAGAATGGAACTAAGAGACAAAGAGATTTATTGTGCTAGCTACAGAAGCCTTTCTCTCGATTTCTTGTTGCCTTAGAGTTACGGTAGTTCGTCTGGAAATACATGTAGTTTGAAATGTCAGTATGATAGATGATTTTATGCTGTTTTGAAATATTTTCATTACTTTGCTTGACAAAATCGAAATTTGTTTCTGGTTCTTTTACAGCATGTGATTGGATAGGGCTGAATTTTTACACTTCCCCGTTTTGTTTCTGTTCTTTTGGTTTGCATTTTCTTAGCACTTATTCACTATCGTTTTATCAATATTGTATGTTTCTGGTTGTTAAAACTTAACTCAGTTAAACAACTAGAAGTAAATGGCTGGAGCATGACACTGGTAGGTTCTTTGCTTCCATTCTTTTATTTCAGTCTGTCTACTGTCTTCCTTTTTCCTAATACTTCATTGCCATTATTTAGTTGAAATGCTTCTCTTTATTGAAGCAATCTTTTTCAGGATGTTTTCCATATAGTATGTCAGTTCCTGAGCTTAGCACGTTTATTTGTTTAGTTTTGTTTTTGTTCAATTTTAATTTCTGTTCCTTTTAGGAAGTTCTTCGCATTGAGCGTCCATTTCTATGTTGTAAAGGCTGCTGTTGGTGTGCTGATGGATGCTGTCAGTACCCTGTGTACGTCAAAGACAGAGAAGGAAATTATCTTGGGAAGGTAACCTTGAAGTGAGTAGGCCCTATATTTTGCTTACACTTGTCTGTCACCCTTGTCAAAGTTGGACACTTGTGGGTGTCAATTAGTACCTCTACCTTCCTCCCCTCTCTTCTGCTGGTAAGGCCTACTTCTTTTGTTTCCTTCATTTACTTCTGTAAGTCTGTTTTCCTTTTTTCATCCTAATAAACTGTCATTTTGTTTATGCGCTTTTCTTTACTTATCCAATTGTTTTGGACCCCATCAATACACTTCAGAACTTTGAAAGGAGATATGCGTTTCAACCTAAGCAGACAAGGTCAAACTAAGCTTACGGAAGTAGGTTATCCCTGCTAACTAATAGGGATACACAACAAAATTAATTTCCCCAGTTGGTGGTAGAACTTTAGTTTTCTATGAGTAAGAGGAAGAGCCTAAAAGTTTCATCAAAGTTCCATTTGGTATTGTTTGGTAGCGAGGTTTTCCTTTGAGAAACTAAAACTGCGACTAACACTGTTCCTCAAATGTGTATCAAATGGAGATTTGACAAAACTTCCTGCCACATTTGGCATAATTATGGCATTCCAAAAGCCAGTATTCTACTTCTCTTAGGTTAACCTAAAATGAAATGAACTTTTCAGACTTCTTTGCTTCCATTATTTTATTTCTTCATAAATCTTTATTGCCATTATTTAGTTGAAATGTTTCTCTTTACTCAAGCAATCTTTTTCAGGATGCTGGGGCATCTACCCTCAAAACCAAATTAGTTCATCCTGTGTTGTTGTTGTTGTGTGTATTACGTTGCACTTGAAGTTCCGGATATTCATGAGATAAAGAAGAGAAAACGTCATAGCTGATCTCGTGATAATGTATACATTATATGGCTCTCTCCTGCTAAAAAGCTTTCCATACAGGTTGTCAATTCCTGAGCTTATTTCAACTAGTTTATTTGTTTATTTATGTGGGTTTTTTGGGGGTTGTTTTTTTTTCTTTAGCTAGCATGATTAGTCTCTCTGTCTCTCAGTTCCATTCTGACCCCTTCTCTCTGTCTTCTGGTGAAAAAAGAGTAGAATTATTGGGGGAAATGAATTTGAGCCCTCCTTTCGGAAATCACTTGTCCTTCTGCACATTTCTGGGGTCTTCACTGTGTGAGATGCTACATGTGGATCGTCATGTTGCATTGCACGAAAAGGGAAAAATTGCATGAAGAACTCTTATAAATCATTTAAATAATCGGGGTGCTTAAGTAGACTTTGGTCAAGTTATTAAATCATTGATTTCAAATGTAGGAATTGAATTTGTAATTTATGAGTGACACGAACTTAATCTCTACTTGTGTTACTTATTTTTTATCATTTTTTTTCTTTTTACTTTTGTAAAATTCTGTAGGCTGGGGATGATATGACAGAGCAGTTAAAACACACATACCTGTAAATTTGTTTTAAAAAGTCTGATAGGATAAAGTGAAAGCTTACTTTAGAATTGGGGATTTTTCATTGTGCTGCTGTTATGATTTCCGCTAACTTAAAGTTTACATAAAGTTTAAGTGCAGGAAAAGTCCTTACTACAGTTCTAGCTATTAGCATGGTTTTACCACTTTGAAAACTGGCAGCGTATTCTGTACCAGGCCTAATCTACATAATATGTTTAATTAAATATTTTCACAAAATCGTCGAAGAATTTCAAACAGTCTTCATCAGCACAAATCTAGTTTTTGTTCTCACTCTATAAGAGCCTAATTTTTCTGAATTCATCTTTCCTTTAGAATATCCACATTTAGATCCTGAGTAAGAGCAAAATAAAGTAAGTGGAGATCACCCTGTTTCTGATGTCTTTTATAAATCTCTTTGTTTTGAGAAGCTCTCAAGGTGGATCACTTTGGAGGTGAATCCTCTCCATTCGTTAGCTTTATATATTCAATTTATATCCTCAGTGTCTGACTCTATGCATATTTGCCAAATAGGTCAAACACTTTTTAAAAATGTAATTTTTTTTTTAATTATCTTCTAGGATTGCTCATATTTTGGGGAAAGTTGTGAACTGTACTTTTTACTTTTTATGGTGTCAACTGTTGGTAAGATTGTTAATATATCGTAATTTAAAACAAACAAAAGTGTTTAACCTTACTGGCAGAGACTCGGTGTTATTCGAATTGAATAATAATAATAATAATAATAATAGTAAATAGCATTTGTATAGCGCATATCCCTTCTCAACAGCAGGCTCTATGCGCTTGAATGATAGGGCTTATATATTTTCTTTTTCTTTTGAAAAAAAAAAAATATGCCGACATGTTATTTTTCTTCAGGACATCGAAATGTTCACCCCACTTTGGCATCCACGGCCCTGATGACACCCTTCTTTATGAAATCTGGGGTCCATGTTGTCCCTGCCAGTGTGTTTGTGGCTGTACTGATGACATCAAGTTTCCTGTAAGACATCAAAGCTCGTAATTCTCCTCAGTGTTTAATAAAACTGCTCAAAGACTGAAAGTAAGATACTGAGATTGGGCTCCCTTTTGATTTTTGTCTATACAAAGATTTTAATTAATACTGTCTTCAGTGTAATCATGGAAATTGGTAAGAGGGTTGAATTTGATGGAATTGTCATAATTCCTTTGCAACTGAGAGGAATATTATGTAAAGGTAGCCTTTTTTCTCATTTTTTTAAAGATTACGTAGATTGTCTTGTTTCATCAGATTTTAATACATAAAAATACTAAGGCTTCCAAATGAAAAAAAAAAACGACTTAAGAGCAATAGTCTTCAAATTTTGCATGCTGTGTTAACAACAAAACATAAAAAAACATGAATTGTCACTGTATAGTTGGATTTTTTGGTAACTCTTTTTATAACCTCCACCATCTCCTCTTCTCCCCCCCCCCCCCCCCACACACTCACACACACACATACACACCACACACATACATACCCATACACACGTCATACACACTTTACTTTACTTTTATCCGCTGCTTATACGCTTTTGGGTGTCGCAGGAAGAAAGAGACGTCTCTCTGTCACCAGCCGGAGAGCTTGGGTCAGGAGGATGCCGTGGGTGGTTAATGTTTCCCTGACTCCATCTATCCTGGTCTTTTTCGGTCGCCCTCTAGCCTTGTTGCCATCAAATTTTTGGATGTAGACACATTGTGTTGGATGGTGTGTTGGTAATAGTAGTAGATGTCTGAACCATTTGATTCTTTGGTGTTGGATGTGATGCATGACATCATTTGTGCCCACCAGTTCTCGGATTACAGAGTTTCTAATTTTGTCTCGCCTGGTTTTGTTTACTGCTTTTCTAGGGCATCGCATTTCACATGTTGTAATTCTTTGCTCTAATGTCTTGTTCATGGTCCGTGTTTGGCTTTGATAGGTGAGTGTTGGGATGAATATGGTGTTGATCATTTTGAGTTTTGTTGTCATTGGGATGTTAGGATGTTTCAGTAGTGGAGTAAGCTGGTAACTAACATTATTGGCCTTTTTGTATTCGTGTTTCAATTTCTCTGTTCAGTCGCCCATCCTCTGTGAATATATTTCCGAGGTACTTAAATTCTTGGACCTGTCTGAGACTGTTGTTGTTGATTTGTATCCTATGTGGTTCTGGCTTTCTGCTTACTTTCATGTCTCTATTTTGTTGATGTTGGTCTTCATGTCATAGTTGTTACATTCTTCGTTTAATGTGGTTGTGTGGCGCTGGAGACTTCGTTCATCTTTGTGTACCAGGCTTTTGTCATCAGCGAAGAGTAATTCATTTAGGGAGTCAGGTTCTATGTTGGCCTCTTTTATAATTCTATCCATATGATAAATAGTAGTGGTGATAGGACGCAACTTTGTCTTACTCCGGATGTTATCTCGAACCTTTCGGTGAGTCCCTCTGACCTTCGTACTCTACTTATGCTGTTCTCGTAAATGGCACGGATGTTATCTAGAAGTTGGCCTCTTACAGTGTAGTTTTCAAGTTCTTTCCACAGTTTGTTTCTGTTCACTCTGTCAAACACTTTCTCCTGGTTTATAAATACTATATTTAGTTCCCTGTTGTGTTCTATTACCCTTTCGCACATTTGTCGTAGGGCAGATATTGCGTCGGTGCATCCTCTTCCCTTTCTAAATCCCATTTGGGCCTCACTCAGAAATGGTTCAACTTTGTGTCTTGTTCGCCATTCCAATATCTTGGCGAACATCTTGCCCACATGGCTTAGCCGTGAAATGCCTCTATACATTCCACAGTCTCTCTTACTGCCTTTCTTCTTCCAGATTGGTACAATGACCGCTTTTTGCCAGTCGGTGAGAACTTTTCTTTCTGCCCATGCTTTCTGGAAGATTTTTGTGAGCCAAGTTATTCCAGTTTCAACACATGCTAGGATGGTCTCCGTGGTTAGCTCATCTATTCTTGCGCTTCTGCTTTTTGGGCTGGTTTTAACTGCTTGTCTGATGGTAGGATAGTTGGTTCTTCTTCCTCTGGGTGATTTGGTTGGAATTCTTTGTTTGTTTGCTTTTGGGTGGTGTTCAAGAGTTCTGTGAAATATTCCCTCCATCTAGATATAATTTTGGAGCTGTCGGTAATTAGGTTCCCTGTTTTGTCATTAATTATAGCTGTTGGGTCGTACGGTTCTTCTCTGAGCCTCATTGATTTTACACTTCTGTAGAAGTCACGTAGTGATTTATGGCGCAGTTCGCTTAGATGTTCTCCATATTTTTTGTAAGATTCATTTTTTGATGCTCTAACAACTCTTTTGCAGTTCCTTCTTGCTAGTCTATATTGCGTGTAGTCGTTATCGTCCTGGGATTTTATCCATTTCTGAAAAAGTTTCTTCTTTTCTTTGATGGCCTCTTTAACGTTGTCATTCCACCATGGTGTTCCCTTAACGTATCCTCTCCCTTCCACCTCCCATGTGCAAATTTTTCCGATGCAGCACATACAATTAAAATTGTATTTCTATTGTTGACAAAAACCTATGTATATTGTCATCTTGAAGAGGTTGATCTTCTTACCAATAAATAATAAGAAATGGCTTGAAAAATATAGATGTTTTGGATTTTTTCCGATGTCCTCCATTTTTATGTAATTCTTACATAATACATGTATTTCTTTCAGTTGCTTATTAATAATAATTACATCTTTGTTCAAAAACATGTTGTGTATATAAATAGACTTTACAGAGATAGGAATCTCTTGTCATCTGTCTTGTTATAATGATATGATTTTATAATCTACGCAGTGAAGCAGAATTTACAGCATCTTTTTTCTAATTTATGCAATGAAGTGGAATTTACTGAACCTTTTTTAGAAGAATAGTCACTTACCCTTTTTATATTGAAGATTATAGGGGGAAAATGCAGAAAAGATCACATTTTTAATCACATGGACATTTTATGATATTGCAGTTTGATATAATGTAACATTTTGAAAGGAAAAAAATTACAGGGTCCATGTAAAAATTAAGGGAGAAAATTGTATAGCATTTGGAGATATGAGATTTCTCATATGAAAAGTCACCGAAGATTGACATGACTCTCAGCAATGACCATATGCGAGGCTTCGTGGTGAAATCAGGGGCTGGTGAAAATAATGAAATCCGAGAAATCGGCATTTTTCAGCCGGTTTGGAATTTTTTTTCAATTTTTTGTTTTTTGGCTCAACACTGTGTATGTCCATTCAAAATCACTTCTTGTTATGATGTTATGTATTCTTAATATTTGATCAAAGTCAGACGAGCACAAGACGATAGTAAACATTCAGCCATATTGATTTCATAAGGAAGGGAAGTGTTTATTTTTGTTTCAAACATCTTCACTATATTTGAGTATAGTATAAGTATCGAATATCACGACATCCCCTTTACTTTATAGAAAAATCCAAAATGGACATTTCCAATATCTTTTTTGAATCCTTCCGTTTCTGAACTTAACAAAATAAGACGTTAAGGAAAATTTTAAAAACTTTATCCCAACTCAATACTCAACAAAAAAATATCTCTTGGCAACAATTTATGTTATTACCATTATTCGTTGACTATTTCGTCAACTATTATAATAATTTCAAATCTAGCAAACAGGATTATAGGCTCACATGGACATAAGCTTGATGTGACTCGATGACATTTGAAGTGACCAAGGTTTCTTTGTCAATTAACAATTAAAATAATTATTTCCTCCATGTATGCACTTCTAATGTTATAGAGTAGAATTATTTATCTATTGTTATCATCATCAGCTTTACTATATCAATGATACTTATTTTCACAAGAGTTGGAATGTTTTTCAAGCTTGTTTTGGGTCTTTCATTATTGTTGTTTAAAATGAAACTTAACTATAACAACAACATTGTTCATTATTTCTGTGCTTGGCAAGTGTTTATCATGGGCACTGAGCTTGGACTTGTAACAGTGATTTGAGTTAATAACCTGAAATAAGAAAAATGGCCATGCACTTCCTAGTGTGTTGTTTATTTGTGAAACCTCTTCCATCTTGTATTCCTTCCTTGATGATTGCATTGTGTAATATCACGTGTTGTGTGGGTGTTTGCAATCTACACTTCCTAACCATTGGTGTATGTACAAAATTTCAATGACATTAGGCTATTCCTTTTGTCACTCTTCCTCTTTTTGAGAAAAAAAAATTGTATAAAGACGAGGAGGGTTTAGACGAAAAGTAGTTTTGAGGTTTCAGAGGTCGAGCCGCTTAGGGGCAATGATTGTGCGTTGACTTCGCCTGGTGGGGAGTGTGGCAGGGCTTCTCGTTGTTTCTCTGGGTCTGTGTGGTGTTGATTGGCTTGTACGGGAATCATTTGGGGTTGGTACAGACAGCGTCTGCTCTTGATGTAGGTGTAGTGCTGTCTGGTGTGGTGATTTGCAGAATGGTGTTGCTGACTTGGGGCTCGAACTGGGTCCCATATTATGGACTCGGTTGCGTCTGAAGATTTGTCCTTCTCTGTTCGGATTATGTATGATCTGGGTGTTTCAGCACGAGGAGTACCGGTACCTTGAGGTTCTATTGTTGCTGGTTCCATTTTCTTGTTGATAGGATTTCTTATGGTCACTGGCTGGTTGTTTGAAGGTGGGGGCAACTGTTTCGCACTCTTGTCATGATAGAGTTTTTGTGTTTCTTGTCTGTGTTGCAGATATGATTGTACCTCTTCTGCATTTTGTTGCTTCTGTATTTTCCTTGGTAATGAGTCTTCAATTTGTCTGCCAAAAAGAATGCGTGCCGGAGAGGGCAGCTTGTTGTCAATCAGTGTAGTTCTCAGAGCTAGTATAGCCTTGTATGGATCTTGGTTGGATTCTAAAGCTTTCGCCAGAGTCCGTTTCACCAATTTCACCTGGCTTTCAATGTATCCATTACTTCTTGGCTAGTGAGGTGAGCTTGTTTCGTGTCTGAAGTTGTATTCTTCTGAAAACTTTCTGAATGGGGATCCACTGAAGTGGGGTCCATTGTCGGATCTAACCACTTTTGGTATTCCTTGTTCACTGAAAATTTGTTTGGTGAGGGTGACGATCTTGTGACTTGAGCTTTGGTTCTTTGGGATTTTCCTCACAAATGGGAATTTTGAAAAGTAGTCAGTTATAAGGACTTCTCCTTTGAGATAGAAAAGGTCAATTCCTATCGTATGCCATGGTCTTGGCGGAATTTCTGTTTGTATCAGTGGTTCCTTTTGCTGTCCACTTTGGTGTTTCTGGCATGTTTTACACTTTCTGACAATGTCTTCAATGTCTTTGTTAATATCTTTCCAGAACACACTTTCTCTTGCTCTCAGTTTGGTTTTCTCTAACCCTAAGTGAGGTTCATGTAGTTTGTTCAGGACTTCGGGTTTCATCTTCCGTGGTACGGTGATTCTGTATCCCTTCATGAGCACTCCATCTTCAATTGAGATTTCATCTCTGTAGTTCCAATATGGACGGCATAGTTTGTGGAACATCTTTGATATTTCCTGGCCACCCATTGTAGGTCGTCTCTTTCAAGGCATTGAGTTCTGTGTCTGTTTTTGTGTTCTCTGTGATTCGGTAGATGTAGTTATCACTAAACTGAGGCAGGATTTCATGGATTTTGATGCGTTGTGTTTCCAAAGGTTTTATCTCTTCATCTGACACAGACAGCCTTGACAGTGCATCTGCAATACACATAATATCTTTCCCTGGAATGTACTTGATGGTGAAAGTGTAAGGCTGTAGTCTCAACAACATCCTCTGCAATCTTGGCTGTGCTGCCTTTAAAGTGCTTGAGATGAATGGATTGTAGAGGTTTGTGGTCGGATACCACAGTGAATTCTTGTCCATTTAGGTATGTGTGGAATCTTTCACATCCATAGACTACGGCCAACAACTCTCGTTCTATGTTTGCGTAGCGTGTTTCTTGATCAGTGAGGGTTTTACTTGCACTGATTTTCCTTCCTGCATTAGGGTTGCTCCTAAAGCTTTCATAGATGCATCCACTTGGACAGTGATTTCCTTCTTTGCGTCAAAGTATGCAAGCGTGACTTCTTCTGTGATTGCATTTTTTATTCTCTGAAATGCTTCTTCATGGTTTGGGGACCATTCAAACTTGCTTGACTTTGTGAGCAGTTCTCTCAGGGGTGCGGTCAATGTGCTTAGATTTCCGAATGAAATGTCCCATGTATGTTGCCAGACCTAAGAAAGATTGTAGCTATTTTTTATTCTCTGGAGCCTTCATGTTTCTTATGGCTGCCACTTTTGAGGGGTCGGATTTGACTCTGTCTTGAGTGACTATTACAGCATAGAACTTGATTTGATGTTGCTTTATGCGACATTTCTCTGGATTTAGTTTCAGTCCGGTTTCTACACATCTTCTGATCATCTTGTGTAGGTTTTGATCATGTTTTTGTTCTGTTTTTCCAAAAACAACAATGTCATCTGCAATGCCTATGACACCTTGGCATCCTTCAAAAGTTTGGTCAATCTTCATCTGAAAAATATCTTGACTCATTCTTAATCCAGATGGCATTCTCAGAAATTGGAATCTTCCTTCTGGCGAGTTGAATGTTGTGAGATAACTTGACTCTTCGTCCAACTCCACATTCCAATAACCACATTTGGCATCCAGGATGGAAAAATACTGTGCACCTGATAGGCTTAGTAGAATTTCCTCTAGCGTAGGTGTGGTGTAATGTTCTCTGAGAATCGCCATGTTCCAGTCTTTTGGGTCTAAACAAAGACGTAAACTTCCATTTGGTTTTGTTCTGTAAACCAGACTGTTGACCCATTGAGTAGGTTGACCTTCTTGAATTTTCTCTATGATCCTATTTTCTCTCATTTCTTTGAGCTCTTCCTTTATTTTGGCTTTGATCTGGATTGGCACTTTCCTTTGAGGGTGGATCACTGGTGGGACATCTTTGCTTGTGTGTTTGTGGTATCGGCCTTCAAACTTCCCTATGCCTCTGAAGGTCTCAGGGTACTTGTTGATCAGTCTTCTTTGTTCCTGATATGTTCTGTCTTTGACTTGCATTTCTTTTTAATGCAGTAGTTTAGACTGATCATGCCTAGAGCTTGCAGTGTCGGTAGTCCAAGAATTGCTGATCCCTTGTCTTCCGTGACGTAGAAGATTGCACATTCTGTGTTGTCTTTGTAACTGCATTCAATGCTGCAAGTTCCGAATTGCCTTATTTGGTGTCCACCATATCCAGTCAGTTTGACTTCAGATAGTGTCAAATCTGTTGGTATCCCTTCTTTGTCAACTTTTGATAGAAACATCTTTCTGTACAGTCTTAGTGGCAAGGCGTTTCCTTGTGATCCAGTATCCGTCTTTGCCTTTAGAGTTGCTTTACTCCACTCAGGTAACTTGACTTTAACAGTTGCAAAAGCTTCTCTGTCAGATTTGTTCAGCTTTATTGTCTCAAATGCACAACGATACTGTTCTTCTTCTTCTTCTGTTGAGTCATCCCCCATTGTGATTTCATGGGTCTTGTTGCATCTGAGTTTCCTGCATACTTTCTTAAAGTGGTGTAACTTCTTGCAATAATTGCATGTTTGGTTTCGAGCAGGGCATTGAAGAAAAGTGTGTGGGGAACCTCCTCAATCGGTGCAACGTTTCTTTGGCTGAATCTTTGAACTGGACCCCTACTTGGGTTTGTGTTTAGCTGATGGTTAGTAGACTTTTGGTGACGGACTGGACTTTTTCCTCTACAAAGTGTGGACTGACATTCTATCTTGGCTATCTAATAGTCCCATTCCTGATTTGGAAATTTCTTCAATCTTGCACATTTGCAACGCTGTATCCAGTGTAAGTGTACTCTCTCTGAGTAACCGTTCTTTCAAGGAGTTGTCCCTCAGTCCCACAATAAGTCTGTCTCTTACTAGCTCGTCTTCTAGCTTCCCATAATGGCAGTTTCTACTTAATTTCCTGAGTTTTGTGGCATATTCTTCCGCACTTTCCCCCTCAGCTTGACTTGCTGTATTAAACGTGTACCTTTCTAAGGTGATGTTTGCTTTGGGAGTGCAGTAGTTATTAAATCTTTCCATTAATGGGGCCACTCTGTCTCTTTCCTCTTCTGGGATTTGCCATGTGTGGTAAATCTTCCTTCCTGCCTCTCATATGAGGTAGAGAATAGTTTGACTTTTCTCTTTCTCAGGCTTGTCTTGAATTGTTAGATCTATGTATAAAGTTATTGTCTCCCTCCATGATTTCCATTTGTCAGCTAACTGGCCTGTTTCATTCCTGAAATTCATAGGCTGTGGTGGTGGCAGTTTTAGTGCCATCTTAAAGGGAGGCAAAACTTGTTGACTTTAGAGATAGGAAACTTTGATTTGGTTGCGTCCCTTGGTTCATTCACGTACCTTGCGTGACGTAGAATCAAGATCTAGGACGCGACGTCTGCTAGATTGCCTGAGTGCGCGTACTATTGGTACTATGTTACGAAACTTTCTAAATCTCTAGATCTAGATAAAGAATCACAAAACGAAGTTATTTTACCTGTTATCACTTGTTAAGTGGGCGGCAAACCTTTTCACTTCTGGCACCATTTTATGATGTTATGTATTCTTAATATTTGATCAAAGTCAGACGAGCACAAGACGATAGTAAACATTCAGCCATTGATTTCATAGGGAAGGGAAGTGTTCATTTTCGTATTGAACATCTTCACTATATTCGAGTATAAGTATCGAATATCATGACACTTGTATGTGTAGATTTTATAGAAAAACATTGATTAGAGGCTCAAAAAATGTAAATTTGCAGTTTCCAAGGACTCATAAGCTATAGAAGTCACCAAACTTCGGCGGCCATACTCTTGATAATTTTACTTCTGGAACCAGGTGACCCCGCCTCCTTCAATTGCAAATATCTGGACTTCTATATAAGATAAATAGATATTTTTTTCATCTAAAGCAAGGCAAATAAACATCTTTTTAGATGATTCCAATAACTCCTATGTTAACAAATTGACGAGCGCCTGATTTTACCGTTTCGTGGTACATATGTTAAAAACTATTTGATACCGGTATATCTAAACATTTTTCTAAACAGTTGTCTGAAAAAGTTATCTAGCTATGCCCAAGTCTGATAAACTACAAAAGTAAAAGTGCGCCGATGTGAACCCTTTTCTCATGCACGCACTTGTATGTTGAAAGTTGAAACCATCTATACTAACAGCTTTTTAAAAAAATTTCAGGTGAGAAGTTTGAAGGATAATGATGTGGTTGGCAACATAAGCAAAATCTGGGCTGGTGCCTTCCGGGAAATGATCACAGATGCCGATACTTTTGGAGTAACTTGTGAGTTTTTAAAACAATTGAAATAGTAAACATTTTACACCCTCATTATCTCAATTTAGACATTTTAGCAGGCATGCTTCTTTGACCTTTCTCGTCAGTGTAACGGTCAGCTCAAGTGGGGATTCAACATCCTCACAGATATACGGGGATAATCGATTTAAAAAATCCTCCCCACTCAGGCATTGAATTCGCATTTTTTTGCATGTGATGCTGTCCCCATGGTTTTATGCACCCACCATAATTTAGCATAATTTGATCTTTTTTTTTTCATACTTTTTGATTACCTTTATCATTCTTTGTAAAAATTTACAGAATCGCATAATTTTACATTTTTGGGCTCAGTTTGCATAATTTCAGAATTTTTCTTGCATAAAACAACAGGGACAGGGATGGCGAAGAATCGTACTGTTATATACCACAGTCAGAGGCACCAGAATAGTTTTTGTCTGGTTATAAGACATAGTGTTCACTTGATTTTTCATTATTGATAGCATTTCTGCCTGTGGTGAGTGTTTGGAGTAAGCTATTGATAGACGATGCTTCTTTTCTTTCCCTTTGTTGTTTCTGTATGTTTGTCTTGCCTTTTCCTTCCGCTGCCTTGTGTTGATGTTTTGCTATTTGTAGGTACACAAAGTAATTCTATTGCTTTTTTGTTGTTGTTGTTTTTTTGTACTAATAGTAATCTTACAGTCCATTTTTTCTGTGTAGCTTCAGGTTTTTTTAACTGTCCCCAGTTCCAATTTTCTATCTGAGAAACACGCATGGTTTATAATCAACATGTAGGGAATGAATTTCTAATAGACTTTCCAAAGACATGGGGCATAATAGTATGCTAGTTTATGTTAGTCTGAAGAGTGGAGAGGCAAAGATTTGGAATTCTTTGAGCGAAAAATTGACCTCAGGGCCATAAAACATGGGATATGCAAGCTGCTTTTGGGGCTCACTGTAAGAAATGAGTTAATCTGAGTGGAACAGGTTTAAACCTTGTCCCTGTTGGAGTTCTTTTGGTCTCATGTAAGCTGACCAGTTTCCCATGACATGCTGTAAAAATGTGTACCTTAGTGACCTCTGAAGCTGAAAGTGGGTGGTTGTAGGGCGCCACTTTGTTTGGGTTTTACAGCTTTTCTTTCTCTCTGTTGTTTCTGTCTCTTGGTCATGATCTTTCCGCACACTCATGACAGTTATTGTGTTGATTTGGTTTTCTTTGCTTAAACTCAAACACAGACTAAACTGAATAAGATTGTTTTGTATAGTTTATTTAGTTGGTAAGATATGGAAAGGGAAGATTGATCTTTTTTGTTCAGACACTTACATACACACACACACACGCACACACGCACACACACACACACACACACACACACACACACACACACACACACACACACACGCAAAAACAATCGCACATCTTTAGTTTTATTAGGGTTTTGTTTTCATAGACAAAATTAATTAACTCTGATGTCATGCATTTCATTCTTGTCCTGACAGTTCCCATGAATCTGGATGTCAAGCATAAAGCTCTCATGATTGGTGCTGTGTTTGTAATTGTAAGTCCACATTTGTTTTTCCTCGTTTATCCTTTGAGAGAGGGAGAGGAAGAGAGAGAAAGAGAGAGAGAGAGAGATTGTGTTTGTGTGTGTGTTTATGTGTGTGTATGAATGTCTGTGTGTTTGTGTGTGTGCGTGTGTGTGTGAGTGTGAATGTCTGCGTGTGTGTTTATTTGTGTGAGTGTGTGAATGTGTGAGTGTGTTTGTGTGTGTGTGTGTGTGTGTGTGTGTGTGTGTGTGTGTGTGTGTGTGTGTGTGTGTGTGTGTGTGTGTGTGTGTGCGCGCTAAATTAAACTACTTTGTATGAATGATTCATCGTTTTAATCCGACGAAAACAGTGATTGTTTTGAAAGTAACAGTGGTTTTTTTGTGTGTTTTTTTCAACAGGATTTTTTGGTCTTTGAGAAACAAAAGAATAACAATCACTAAAGAAAACAGGAGGAGGAGAAAGGACAAAACTGATGCCAACAATCAACGGGGATCTTGACAAGTACATGACCACATTTGGTACTTCAGTTTCAGAAAGAAAGAAAAAAAGATTTATTTAATTTGTTTTTCACTTTATTCACAATGTTACAAGGATTACTTTAGGCCCACGCAGCCATCTTAGAAGATAAGAACCATATGTTCATATGACTGTTACTGATTGTAATTTATATTTTGCGCCCTCATTGACACAGTTCGAATCACTTTAGAATTAGAGGTTGGCTGCTCTGATTGTGTTTGTCAAGGCTATCGTGGGCCAGTGGATGCAACGTCCTGACAAAAATGAAAAGTTATTGCTTTAAATGTTTTCCCTTCATGAGAATTGCACTCTTATCTTTGTCTTAAAGGGTTACAATTTGACAGTTGAGCAATTAGATTAGGGGGAGTTGAAGATGTGTTTTATTTTTTTCATCTGTGCATTGTGTACTAAGTAAGAAAAGGTAAGATGTAATATATATATATATATATATATATATATATATATATATATATATATATATATATATATATATATATATATATATATATATATATATGCATTATAACGAAAGGGAAAAAAAAGTGTTTATGCCGAAGATTTCCAGACTTGTTCTGTTTTGGAAGGATCAGAACAATATTCAAGAACCTGTTGATAGATTGCATTTTAAAAAATTGGTGAATCTATGCAATCTGATATGGGAATAACATTTACCATTCAGTCTCTTTTGTTTTGATATTATATATTTGTGTGTGGATTTTGTGTTTGTAAAAAAAAAATTTCTCTTCTTCTTTTATTAAGAAGCACATGGCAGAAGAAAGACTTTTGATTTCATAAAATTCTATTCCCAGGGACCTTTGATCACATTTGCACAGTGGATAATTATTTATTCTTATCCTAGCCTTGTGTACTTCATATGTGACCCATCAGAAGCCTTTCTTTACGCACCGATGTGTGGGTTGTTGACACGGGCTTGTCGTAGCGTGTGCCGGGGGTCGGAAGAGGTCAGATGGGCAGCAAGCACACACGTGGCTGTAGCACCTGTGTCTTGGGGGGATGGGGAAAGGGGGAGAGAGGATCAGACAAGGCACATGAGTTCAGGACATGGAACATTTGCAGAGATACAGATGCTTCACAGTTCTTCCCCCCTCTGCCACCCTCCCTCCAGCCACTAAACAATGAAAGGCTGGCGTGGACTTAGGTCTTGATCTGCATAATAAAGTGCTTGCTGATTTGTGATTAAAGAAAAAACTTAATACGTTGCTGTATTGTGTGTAGGCCTTTCGCTGCAAAGCAAGTTGTTGCTCACTTTGCTATAACAGACGATCGGATTCAATTAAATTAAAGCTCAGCAGGCCAAATGGATGAATTCACTATATATCCAAGTTCCACTTTATAAGCGGGCTGTTCAAATGTTCCGAAGCCAAAAAGCAAATTTTTCTGGAGAGAGGTATTACAAACTGTTTGAATGCTTTTACAAATTATGGTTCCTACATTATTTATCGTTTCTTGCTTTTTTTTTTCAACATTTAAAATTTTGATTTTGACTACAAATTTAATGAGTGCATACATTCACTACTACAGATTAAGAAATTGCGATGAAAACTATGTCAAAATTTTGGGCTTAGTAGGCCTACATCACAATTACTGATTGACGATATAACGTGAGTGTGTGTATGTGTGTGCGGTTGTGTGTGTGTGTAAATATTATGTATACCGAGTGCTCACAAAAAGTATAATTATCTGATTTTAGACAAATCTTTATCCTGTAGTTTTTGTGACTTTGATTATGAACCTTCATGGATATCATTCTCTTAGGAGGGAGCTCAATTCTACATTGTTCACACTCTATCAGAGCCTGTCTTAATAATATGTACTTTGAACATATTTTTTTAATCCAATTTTGGTATACATCAGATGCTGTGAGCAAGTTGTTGTTGTTTTGTTTTTGTTTTTAATATGTATACATTCCTGCTAAATTGCTGCATTTTGGAATTTAGTTGTGCCTTTATTAGTATATTCTGAAAATTATTTTATACGATGTTTTCTTATATTTCTGAGCTTGAACTTATACTTAAGCACCTTATTATATTATTTTGCTACCTCCTTATCGAAAAGCTAAATTGTATTTCATTTAAACAAATTATCACAATATTGATGTTGTAAACAAAAGCCCTTAAAAGTAAACTTGGGCACATTTGTGGTATCCACTGTCGTTGGGGCTACTTTGAGTCATGCTTGAAATATTGTCGGTCAGCTTTTAAAATGTACGAAGCTCAAAATTTTGATTTTGTGTTTGTTTATTGCAGTTTCTCGGTCTCTATTATTGTTTCCATGTGCCCAAGAAATGCTTTTATCTAAATTCAAATACTAAATGTTGAAACAGAATCAAGAAAAAATACTTAATTTACTTACAGTTTTTAAAACACTGAAACTGTCTTTCTTTCTCCTATAAAATTTTGTCTTCTGGGCTTACAGCTTTTTAACAGTTCGCCAACAAATGTTTTTATGCTCTTAAGAACGAAGATGGTTGAAATTTACCCAAGTGCCATAGTCATGTTTTTGTGATGGCTATGACTAACCGAGTTTCATTGTGTGCCCTTAATAAAAAAAACTGTAAAAGGTTTCCTTGATGTGCTTATTCGTGTGATAAAACTGCAAAACAAGTATTTGATAGTATATTCAGGATCCCCAGCATTGTTCACTGTATTCTGAATTAAATGACTAGAGTTACATTCCAACAGATAGATAGAAGTTTTAAAATACAATTAAGCATCTACTGCAGCCTTACTTTAAAATGACTTGTTTTCACCAAGGAGTTTACAGTATGGAGGATGCTCTGTGGGCGGCACCGCACACCTGATAGGAGGCCTCTCTCGCAGCGGAACTGTGGTCTACCTGCGCTGCGCTCACGCAATGAAACCTATAATCTAGATTATAAGAAAGAAGGTTTTATTTCGAGATTAGGCAAGTCAATTAGTAAAAATGCCTTCCACCTGTGTTGTGTTTAAGTGTAAGAACCGATATGATGCTGCAGTGGACAGAAGTTTTCACAGGTGTTGTTTTCCTGTTTTAAAAAATCTGAATGAAAGTGTTTTTATTCCCCCAGCGACACAATTTAGATCATTAACATTTGTAAGAAGCTGGCTCCGGCGCTACCTGCCAAGGCCAACCCGGGCAGAAAGGGAAACACTGTAACAACACCTCAGAAGAAAGACCAAGATACTTGATTTAAAGAAAATATTCTTATTCTTGTGTATGTGTGTGTTTGTGTGTGTGTTTGTGTTCGTGTGTGTGTATGTTATATACATATTAAACATTTTAATTAAAGTATATGTGAGACATGCTGACAAAATGAGTTACTTCTCGCTATCCACAAAAAAGAGATATTGGCCACAAATCGACACAAATTTGTAGAGTTTTTATTAATTAATGCCATAATCTTTAACTATAACATATGTTTTATTATTTCAAACTAATAAATTATTTTTAAAAACTTCACCTCGAGATAGGCCTATATCCTTTCCCATAAGTCTTGGATCCGAAAAGTAACTCATTTTGTCAGCACGCTTCACATATATTGCTTTCCATTGTGTGTGTAAATTAGATGCTATGCGCAGCAGACCTTTATTTTGACGGGACAAAATCTAGAGTCTAGGTTTCTACATGTTGTTTTCATAACTAATCATATAACACACCTTGGCGTATTGAGTTCAATCAGTCAGTCAAACTTGTTTTATGTTTTTAAGCCCATTCATCTTCTAATTACTATAAGACTACTGTTGTCTAGACGTAGATATCGAGAGGCTCCATTAAAATGAAATCAATACCCAACAACAATAATGATAAATACCTTCTACATCTATTTTAAAGAAACACCAAACCATATCAGATGAGGCTAGGTAGGGGGTAGGGTGGGTGGATAAGAGTTGTGAGTCTTGTTTGATAGAACTATACTCGGTTTAGATCTAAATCTATTGTTGTAGTCTCCACCTAAAATCCCACAATTTATAATTCCGGTTCTTTTAAGATTCGCTGTTAAAAAATAAACCAAACAAAGAAACAATAAATTTTACTGCACTAGTCATCCCTAAGATAAATTGTCCCCCTCTGAAGTGTGAATTATTAAGGGACTAAAAACGTTGCTTTCCCTCTATCGTACTTTACTGAACAAATAAAACCTTCAAAGGTCATCCATGCTCATGCATGGGATCACATCTCCGTTCTAAATCTTGATGCGAGGTACACGTTTGCTCCAGACGCAAGGATTTTACGACAAAGGATTCACGCCCAGGTGTGAACTCCTCCGGAGCACCGTGGAACAGCGACTCTATTTTTAAAAACAGGAAAAAAATTGTCCGGGGAACAGCGACTGCCCTAAGCGAATACCTCGTTGTGATGGTATTGATGATGGTATCGATACACCCGCGGCCCCCCAAAAAGATTTTTCCATTTAAACATTTAAAACTATGTCTAATCGTAAAAATAATATCAAATTCGAAACCAGCGTGTCCAAATTAACAAAATAACTCGCGGGTGACCGTTTTTCTTGCTGGATTTAGAAGATCACAAAAAGAAGTATTTTATATAGATTCTACCTAGATTGCATCTTGGAGTAATTTCCTATCATAAAGAGGACAGACAACAGTCACTTTTAACTGATCTTATAATAGACCCCCCCCCCACTCAGTGAGAAGTGACAAGAGGGAGGCTGTGACGCAACATTCCTTTGATGTATGCCGCCGCGCGGGATTAAACTTTGCGCGCAGAATTTTCAAAATAATTATCGCAACTAAAAACTGATTTCATTTTCGAAATCGGCGTATCAAAATAAGCAAAGTTGCTCACGTGGAACCTGATTTGATGCCATATTTTAAAACTGGAGCAAACTCTGGTTTTCAATTGTCTATTTTCAATCTAAAGTTATGTATCAAGGTCACCCAGCGCGTTGTAAGTGCATCTGACGTCAAAGCTGTTAGGATTACACACTGCACACTAGATCTAGATATCTATGATCTATCTACTACTGCACAGTCACTGTACAGTGCACAGTATGGTGACTTGGTCGAAAGAC